ACTTGTTATCTGAGATTAAAAATAGTCCTTTTCCTTTTTTTTCTAAGACAGTTTCATTCTTGTTGCCCGGGCTCGAGTGCAACGGTGCAATCACGGCTCACTGCAACCTTTGCCTCCCAGGTTCAAGCGATTCTCCGGCCTTGGCCTCCCGAGAGCTGGGATTACTGGTGCCCATCACCACGCCTGGCTAATTTTGTACTTTTAGTAGAGACGGGCTTTCTCCATGTTGGTCAGGCTGGTCTCAAACTCCCGACCTCAGGTGATCTGCCCACCTCGACCTCCCAAAGTGCTGGGATTACAGGTGTGAGCCACTGCGTCTGGCCAATAGATCTTTTTCATGATTGTTTCTCAAACTGTAATGTGACTACAAATAACCTGTGTGTCTTATTAAAATGCAGATTCTGATTGATTATAGGAGGCCTGGTCTGGGGATTCTGCAGTTCTGACATGCTCCCAGGTGAGGGTGATGCTGCCAGTTCTGAGCCCAAACTCAGAATAAGAAGGGTTTAATTCACTTTAGATAGGTATTCAGTGACTAGTAGCTGAAATCATCCTAAATGACACAACCCTCAATCTAGTATTTTCTCTCATCATCTCTTACCTGTGTTGATGAATCCATTTAAGGACCTAAAGATTTTAACATTAATTTCAGTTGCTGTTAACCTGCATAAAGTTCATGCTTTGACACAATTCCTCTCACTTCAATATCTCAATACCTCACCATCACTGGCACCTTCTTCTTCTTTTCTGCCTTAAATAGGGCATTCACAGGTCCCAGCACCCACCGTGGGACAAAGCGCCTGTGAATGCTAGGTGCCTTTGCCCTGCGCTAGCATGGAGAGCTTGCCAGCACACCTGGCCCAAAGGTGATGCAGCTGCATCCACGTCGGTTCCTTCCCTGCCATCTCCAGCTCTAAAGAGAAATGCTCCAGCGCTTTTGCAAATCAAAACCTTTTCATCCTGAATTTGGTGATTCACCCTGAATGGTGTCTTCTTGGAATGTCTGTAGTCTGTAATGCACTATTGTGTAAGATGGGTAAAATTGGTCTGTCTCATTGACAACGCTCTTCTCATGGCTCGGGATGAGCTGGGGGAGGAGAGAGTCACAATAAAAAGGGTTCTTTACAGATGGCCTCCCTCCTGGGTGCATCCCACGCCAGGGTACCTGCGTGGGATGGATGGGCTATCTATGCCCGCTGTTGGTATCACTGCCCCCTTTATTCCCCACATCCCTATGGATGAGAATTAGGTTTCAACAGGTATGAAGATGGTGCTTTTAACAAGGAAAATTTACAAAGCTTCCACACTAAAAAAAAAAAAAAAAAAAAAAAAAAAAAAAAAAAAGCGTGGGGGAGGCAAGCATTCAAAGGCCATGCCAAATTTGCTTTTCCCCAAAACAGGGAGAGACAAAGGAAATCCCAAGCATAGCTCCCTGACACAAAGAGCATGTGTTTACCCTCCAAATTCAAGCAAGTGAACGCAGCTCATTATCCCAGGAGCCGGCCACTGAGTCTATCAAGTTCAAAAAAATGCCTGTGGCCCCATTCAGAGAGCGGAGTTTTATCTTTGTATTCAGAGTCAACTAACACTTCTTTTCACAGCGGACAACTCTACACTATGAACTTTCACATATTTTCTCTTACTTGATCTCTTTAACAACCAACCCTGTCTAGCAGATATTGGAATTAGGAAGAGAAAACTCCAGCATCTGAAATAGCCTATCGAGCCCAAGAAAGAGAATTTTTACAAGAGGAAGAGGTAAAATTGCTTTGGTAAACTCTGTTAAATAGTGCTAGAACAGTTGTCAGAACAATTAATACTTTTTATTTTCCACGCAGCCAAAACAGACCTCTCCTTGACTTGTGCTTCGATAGGACAGTCCTGGGGTCTCCGCAGACAGAAAGACTGGGCAGCAGAACCTTGCCCTGGTCGTTTGCAGCCCTGGATTTATAACCAGCAGCCACCCTGATGGACCAGGACGATCTGGTCACAACTTGTCACGTCAGCCGCCAGCACGCTAAGGCCAGCCCTTGGCCAAGTGTGTGTGGCTCTCTCAACTTCGTTCATTTGGATTCATGGCTGGTGTTTTAACATCTAGAGATGTCACATACAAATCTGGATTTTTGAATTCTCCAAAGAAGTCAGAAGGTCTGGCTGTACTGCACCGTGGGATAATCCCTCTACCATGCTGGGCGGTGGGAGTGCCTTGAATCAGGGAAGGTAGTCTCCAGTTGGCCCACGAAACTCTCCCTGCTATCTTTCCAACATGGGGGTCAGTGTTGCTTGTCAAATATCTATCATTCTACACCAGGGTCTCAACCTCAGCACTGCTGGCATTTGGGGCCAGCCTATTCTTTGCTGTGGGGGACTGTCCTGCACATTGTTGGATGTTTAGCAGCATGCCTGGTCTCTGCCCATGAGATACCAGTAGCACCCCCGCCCCTAGTTGGCAAAGTATCTCCAGACATTGCCAAATGTTTGCTTTTTTTGGGAGTTGGAGGCAAACTGCCCCAGGTTGAGAACTTCAGCTCTGGATCCATGCAGCCCTCGTCAGTGATTTCAGATCCTAGCCATGCCCCTGTCAATTGGCATTGGATTCTGCATCTCCTACTGCCCCCAAATAGCGCTTCATATGACTACTGATGAAAACGCTAGAAATACACACTGATTTCCTTCAATGCAGGCTTTGTGTTCCCTTTCAAATGGGTGTTGTCCTGGGTGAGGCACCATATTAAGAATCAGTCATTTATATATCTTTTTGTTGTTGTTGTTTTTGTTTTTTGGTTTTTGGTTTTTGGTTTTTTTTGAGACGGAGTTTCGCTCTTGTTACCCAGGCTGGAGTGCAATGGCGCGATCTCGGCTCACCGCAACCTCCGCCTCCTGGGTTCAGGCTATTCTCCTGCCTCAGCCTCCTGAGTAGCTGGGATTACAGGCACATGCCACCATGCCCAGCTGAATTTTTGTATTTTTAGTAGAGATGAGGTTTCACCATGTTGACCAGGATGGTCTCAATCTCTTGACCTCGTGATCCACCCGCCTCGGCCTCCCAAAGTGCTGGGATTACAGGCGTGAGCCACCGCGCCCGGCCCAGTCATTTATATATCTTAAAGGTTCCAGATCTTTTCTTAAGGGTAAATTTTCACAGAGAAGAGGATAAGGAGAACCTGAAAGCACTGTCTCCTGAAAGAAGGTTGATAAAAGAAAGTGATTTTGCCAGGCGCGGTGGCTCAAGCCTGTAATCCCAGCACTTTGGGAGGCAGAGGTGGGTGGATCACGAGGTCAAGAGATCGAGACCATCCTGGTCAACATGGTGAAACCCCGTGTCTACTAAAAATACAAAAAATTAGCTGGGCATGGTGGCGCGTGCCTGTAATCCCAGCTACTCAGGAGGCTGTGGCAGGAGGCGGAGGTTGCAGTGAGCCGAGATCGCGCCATTGCACTCCAGCCTGGGTAACATGAGTGAAACTCCGTCTCAAAAAAAAAAAAAAAGAAAGAAAGTGATTTTAAGAAGGAAAGGGAACAGAGACAGAGTAACAAATGGGCAACGGCATTTGCTTAAGCACCAGCCCAGCAGGCATCCGCCTGAAACATAGCTTTATGGGGATCACCTGTGCACACTCTGCAATTCACAGCTTTGAATGAGTAGGAGAATAGATTTACGCAAGTCCGCCTCCCTCGGCCTGGCTTAACCATGCACCTCATCTGTATCTGATGAAATCTAGATGCAATCATATTCCTGTTTTAACTAGTTGTGCTGGCAAGGGGGTCTTTCTCCAGAACTGCATGTTGGCAACATAACTAAGAAAAACATACCCATTTGCCAGCTCCCCTCCTTGCTGGCCCTAATGAAAGACAATGCAGCTGCGCCTTTGAAAAGGGCTGGTGAGGTAAAGGGGATGCCGGAGAGAGGACGACCCTTTGCAGGGGTGATTGCCCCATGTGTCCTCTTAGCAGGAACACTGGGATCTGGTGAAGGGTATACTGCACCCAGGATCCCAGAAGAGATTTGGAGAATCCTGGAGCTACTAAAACCCAACTTTACAAATTGTAATTGAGCAGCCACGCAACCTCATACGCCCAATCCTATGCAGTGTGGCCACAGCTGTACCCGGAGGAAATAGAATCTACTAGAGATCAAGAAGAAGGAAAATTAATGAACTCAAAAATCTACAATAAAATAATTTTTCAAATTAGAAGGAATACTAAAATGGATATTAATAAAAAAGAATAGGCAGTTTTTGAGAAGTATGATATAAAAAAGACATCCGAGTCATAAATAACATCAGATATAAAAAGGGACACATAAGCATAGTTACAGATGAGATTTTTTAAATTCTAAGATATAGGAGACCCTCTGTACGCCATGCCAGTCGAACCCTACCTGAAACTTTTGCTTATTTCTGTCCAGCAAAGACAAGTGACTCTCTCATAATACTCCAGGCATAGCTCTATTACAGCACTTCATCATGGTGTATACTTTTTTCATTTGTCTCACTTACTGGCCCCAAAACTCTTTTATAGAAGGGAATATATCTTACTTATTTCTGTATTGTAGCTCTAGGCATGCCTGGCACATGGTAAATATATAACAAATATTCGATAAATGAATAACTTCAGAGAAGACTAACAGGCTGATGAAACAGATGAAAATTTTGTGATGAGGAATGCTTGAAGGAAACAGGGATATCTACTCTTTTTTTTTTATGCCGGAGTTTTGCTCTTGTTGCCCAGGCTGGAGTGCAGTGGCACAATCTTGGCTCACTGCAACCTCCGCCTCCTAGGTTCAAGCAATTCTCTTGCCTCAGCCTCCCGAGTAGCTGGGACTACAAGTGTCCACCACCATGCCCAGCTAATTTTTGGATTTTTAGTAGAGACAGCGTTTCATTATGTTGGCCAGGCTGGTCTCGAACTCCTGACCTCAGCCTCTCAAAGCGCTGGGATTACAGATGTGAACCACCATGCCCAGCCTACTCTTCAAAACAAATGATTGCAGAACACACCATAGTAGTCTGCCTTCAAAAGTCTGTAGGCTGCATTCCAGCTTGAGTGACAAAGACCCTGCTAAAAAAAAAAAAAAGTATGTAGGGCGGTCATGGGGAGGAAAAATTAGATTTTTCTGTATAGACTCAGGGAATAGAAGTTAGACCAAAGTATGTAATGTAAGAAAATTAAGATACAAGAGCCAGTAGAACCAATAGGATTACTTGATTTATTAGGGCCTTTCCTTCCCAGTAAGCTTCTATTCAAATTGTTTATAGTTAAGAGGTACATCTTACTTCTTTTAGGTTAATAATGCATTTTCCTGTCTTTCTTCCCATATATGAACCCCCAAACCACCTGAAGACAGTACAGGACTCTAATATAGGGGATGGTTAAGAACAGTCTGGGGCCAGCTTAGGGGTTGTAACCATGTACATACCGCTTCCCATGTCTCCATCAGATTTTCAATTATGGAAATAAACCTCATCAGGTTGGTATGAAGCCTCATTCTAGAAAGGCTAAATATGTCACTAAGCTGCCTGCCAGACGCTGCTAGTATCAACATTCTGCTGTTTATTCCAAATTGCAGTTTAAAATCAGTCCAGTTTTTTCCAATATGATGGCCACCTGTTAATTCTTCTTATCCTCTCTGACCAGCATGAAAATATTTCTTTAAAAAATTTAATGACTTTTTTTCTCTTCACCTTCATTAAATGTAGCGATTAGACTGACCTGATCAAAGTTCACCATCTACAAATACTGTAAGGGTGTTGTTCCTCATGCAAACACATTCTTTTAAAAAATTATTATACTTTAAGTTCTGGGATACATGTGCAGAACATGCAGGTTACATAGGTATACATGTGCCACGGTGGTTTGCTGCACCCATCAACCCGTCATCTACATTACATATTTCTTCTGTTACCCCTCCCCTTGCCCCCCAGCTCCTGACAGGCCCCAGTTGGTGATGTTTCCCTCCCTGTGCCCATGTGTTTTCATTGTTCAACTCCAACTTGTGAGAACATGCAGTGTTTTGGCTTTATGTTCCTGTGTTAGTTTGCTGAGAATGATGGTTTCCAGTTTCATCCATGTCCCTGCAAAGGACATGAACTCATTCTTTTTCATGGCTGCATAGTATTACATGGTATATCTGGGCCACATTTTCTTTATCTAGTCTAATATTGATGGGCATTTGGGTTGGTTCCAAGTCTTTGCTATTGTGAATACTGCTGCAATAAACATACGTGTGCATGTGTCTCTGGAGTGGAATGATTTATAATCCTTTGGGTTTACTCCCAGTAATGGGAGTGTGGGTCAAATGGTACTTCTGGTTCTAGATCCTTGAGGAATCACCACACTGTCTTGCACAATGGTTGAACTAATTTACACTCCCACCAACAATGTATAAGTGTTTCTATTTCTCCACATCCTCTCCAGCATCTGTTGTTTCCTGACTTTTTAATGATCACCATTATTACTGGAGTGAGACGGTATCTCACAGTGGTTTTGATTTGCATTTCTCTACTGACCAGTGATGATGAGCTTTTTTTCATGTTTGTTGGCTGCATAAATGTCTTTTGAAAAGTGTCTGTTCATATCCTTTGCCCACTTTTTGATGGGGTTGTTTTTTCTTGTAAATTTATTTAAGTTCCTTACAGATTCTGGATATCAGCCCTTTGTCAGATGGATAAACTGCAAAAATTGTCTCCCATTCTGCAGGTTTCCTGTTCACTCTGATGATAGTTTCTCTTACAGGCAAACACACACTCTTGCCTATGTTCAACTAAAGTTACATTTTCTGTGAATACCACTTTCAGACAAGAAATGCAATTACAAAATTGTTTCTGATATTTGTAATTACTTAGGCCTATACCTGCGGTGAATTGGTTTCACACTAGAGGAAATGCAAATTACTTTGAATCCAGGTGGAAGAGTATTCTCAGACGTGTTTATTGAAAATTCTACAGCAAAACAAATGTAGCAGCTTAGAGAATCAGTAAGAGCTAGAGAGATGAAAATTTACCTGCTCAAATTCAAAATATCGCCTGTGTGCATTTGCATATATACATATATGCTGTAAACGTATAGGGGTATGTAATACACATTCTTTGCCTGGCACAATCAAGGCTAGCCTCCTGAAGCACGTCCCTCAGGTTGTTTTCACGGAAAGCTGACTTTGCTGGTGTATTTATTTCTTTGCTCCCCAAAACCTGGCTCTTCACAATGATAAAACCTTTTGGAAATACATAAAAAATGCAACAAATGTGTCTGTCAGCTCACCTACTTTCTAATTGAAAGCCCCAAATCACTAGAATGAAAGTTAATAGGAAATTATGTTTAATACACCAAATCAATGAAAAGCATATAAAAGTTAAAATTGTCCTGTGCCATGAAACCCGCAACTGTGTGTGTGGGGGGGGGGGGAGAGCGATTAAATGACAGCTCTTCAGCTGACTTCTGTGTATATATGTTCCTTGAGGCAACGTGAAGTTCTCTGTAGTAAATATTAGTACCTGAAATTATTCAGAAAGGTACTGTTCATTCTTCAGAGTCTTAATGAAGGAAAAAACTAGAGAGGGCATTTTTCTGGGAGGGGGGAATGATATCTCATTCTCCTACTGTGATCTGCTTGCTTGCTTGCTTGCTTGCTTGGGAGTTTTTGCTTTGTAGAGAGTTTTCTGGTTTCCCTGGGAAACTGTTTCTAATCACTCCATTGGACACACACACACACACTCTTCCAGAGTATCTGCTGTGTCATATCATTGTTTTATTAGTTATAATCCTTGGACTTAATGTTAAATAGATTGTTGGATAGGAAGGTGATAGATGGGGAGAGAAAGAGAAGAGAGAGATAATCATGTACCCTCTGCTATATTCAAGTCCTCAAAAGCTTTAAATTCCCCCAAAAAGTGCCTGACACAACAGAAAATATCAAATTTTTGTAAGTGAATCTGCACTTTCACCAGAAAGTGACCCTAGTGTGCATTTGATGTTATTTTCAGCTGTCCAGTGTCTGAATCCCCTTCCTAAAATCAAGGCAGCTTCTACCATATGAACGTTTATAGAAGGTACAGCTCATCTCCCACCTCAGAAGCTGAAAAGGCCATTTTTTTGTGATCTCTGCCAAACTGGCCAAGGTTCATGGACACAGGACCTAACCTCAGCCAATCAGAGACCACTACCCAGATGCCAAACCTGGTGGCCATGATGAAAAGACACAGAGATAGTGGAGAACGTGTGCCGCCATTAACATCCAGTGACCACTGCAGTGGCAAAGGCAGTGCCCACTAGGGTAGCAGGTTGTCCTCATCAGGACACTTCAATTGTTCCTGCCCAACTACCAAGCATGGTTATCCAGGCTTCCTGGAAATTCTGTGAGATAACCAGTATTTTTTCTTTTTCTTTTCTTTTACCATAGATGTTTATCGGTGCAACACATGCATGGAGTTGAAAAACCAAGTAGAAATAAAAGAAGAGGAAAAGCAACTATTCCCTGATTCTGCTGTTAGTCCCGCTCATCCTCCAACCATGCTCCATAGGCACTTTTAACTTTTTTATCTATTTCTCCTGAATTTATCTCCATTTTCCAAAATAATACATTGACACTACTAAGTCTTTGATTTACCAATATTAGACATGAACAATAATTGACTTGCAGCCAGGCATGGTGGCTCACGCCTGCAATCCCAGCACTTTGGGAGGCCGAGGCGGGTGGATCACAAGGTCAAGAGATCAAGACCATTCGGGCCAACATGGTGAAACCCCATCTCTACTAAAAATACAAAAATTATCTGGGCGTGGTGGCACACGCCTGTGGTCCCAGCTACTCGGGAGGCTGAGGCAGAAGAATCTCGAACCTGGGAGGTGGAGGTTGCAGTGAACCGAGATCACGCCACTGCACTCCAGCCTGGCAACAGAGTGAAACTCCATCTCGAATATAATAATAACTGACTTCCTCTTAAGGTTAGATGACGGTTTAGCCTCTCTACCCCTTCTCTACTTTCCTTCACCCAATGCTTCAAATACAGTTACATAACTACTTTATTTAAAACAAAATATCGTGTCCACATTATAAGGTTTACATAAAGATAAATAGTACATTCTGATTATCTTTTTGTGTCATCCATTTTTGTCTCACCTTTTTAGAATTGCTGGTAGTTTTCTGTATACCAGTCATTAATATTTTCCCAAATGTTTGATTGTACAATAATTTTTAATAATTTCTGTGTCTTTTTCCAGATGCTCTATCAGATCAGATAATATCCTCATGCTCCCTTTTTACCTTTTGGGGATTTGATGTTTATCTGATGGCTCTCTCTCCATTTGAAAGATTTTCTCTGATATTCGCAAGTCCTTAGCCATCTGAGAGTTATAAGATATTCATAGAGGGATGGCCTAAAATCAGTGGGAAATCCCATGCACATGTAAGGACACATGCTTTGGGTTCTCTCTACAGTGAATGGGGAAAGTCCACTGGTTTGTGGTGAGCTCCTAAGGTCATGGAAGTTTTTTTTTCTGCGCCGTTTAATGCCTCCAGAATAGAATCCACCACTCTTTCTCTTCTCAGGGGAGAGAACCAAGGCATGCTACCAGGGCCAGCTGTCTCTGTAACTTGCAAGGCCCAGTGTAAAATGGAAATGTGGACCCCTTGTTCCAAAAGCAGGCAAAATGCCACTAATGTTACTAAAATATATAACTTTTCTTTTCTTCTGAAGTCTCTTCTTGAATTGTCGTGGTGTTTTGTTTTTGATGTTTAAAGTTGTTCTAAGTTTTAAAAAATTGAAAATTTAAATAATTAGCATGAACTTTTCAGTGTTCACCTTTATGTTGTGCAATGCCAGTTTTAAATGCAAATACAAGCACATTTAACTCTTAAGCAGGTTGACTGAAATTATACAATTTGTATTTTGTAGTGTGTACCTGAATATAAGTCTCATTCTTAACAGAAAAATGGAAATGCTGCACAGAAAAATAACTAAAAACTCAATCATTTTTGTCTTACTTTTTTTCTTTTTTTAAAGACAGAATCTTGCTCTGCGGCTCAGGCTGGAGTGCAGA